GTTTCCACACTTTTTGAATAGGGGCGATAACACTTAAGCTATATGCATATATGTATACATAGGTCCCTGGATGGCCCAAACAATTTGCAACTGACTGCTAACCTAAAGTTTAAGTTTTGAACCCACCAAGCAGTACCCATACTATGGAAGAAAAGGCCTGATAATCTGCTTCTGTTAAGATTACAGTCAAAAAATCCTGTGGAACAACTCTACTCTGTAACACATGGGGTCACCATGAGTCAGAACTGACTCAAAAGCAACTAACAACAATTATACCTATATATACAGGAGAGGAGCTCTGGTGGCATAGTGCCTAAGGCATGTGACCGCTAACCAGAAGGCTGGCAGTTCAAACCCACCAGCCACTCCTCAGAAGGAAGACCAGGCAATCTACTTCTGTAGAGATTATCTACTTCTGTAGAGATTTACCGTTTCTGAAACCCAGTGGTGGTTGCTTATGAGTCAAAATCAACTCAATGGCAGTGAGTTTGATTTGGTTATAGATAGATACATACATACATATAACAACAATTAACAATTATATAAGCACTGCCATCAAGTCGGCCCGGACTCATAGCAACCCCTCCTTGGGTTTCCGAGGTGGTATCACTATGGAGGTAGATTACCCAACCTTCCTTCCAAGGAATGGCAGGTGGGTTTGAACCGCCAGCCTTCTGGTTAGCAGTCAAATGCCTTAGGCACTATGCCACCAGAGCTCCTAACAATTATATATGTATATATATGTTGCTGTTGCTGTTATTTGCCGTCCACTCTGACCCAACTTGTAGCAGCGACCCCTCCTTGGGTTTCTGAGGCATTATCATTATGGAAGTAGATTGGCCAATCTTCCTTCTGAGGAGTGACTGGTGGATATATATTGATATGTATTTATAGAAAGATAGATGGATAGATAGATAGATATACACACACATTCACATACACACACATTAACTAAAAAAAATTAGCTCAGAAATATGAGTTTAAGTATGAGTTTTCTTTTTGAAAATGAAAATCAATTTTTGAATCAACAAAATGTTCACTACTTAGATTTTGAATTCTAAAGAAGTCTCAAGAAAAATACATTTCACTTTGGCCCAACTTACTCTTCTCAAGTTTCTGATACCCAGAAAGAGATAAAATTTATAATTTTATACAAATAAATTCATAATTCACTCCTCTGAATTATGCAACTTAAGCACTCTTTGTCTTGTAGTTGATTCAAAAGCTTTTGAAAACTTTTCCATCTAATTGTATAAGGCAATAGCAATGGTTATTGTGAAAAATCAATTATGATGTTCAAACTATTAACTGACATGATAATCTTAGCATGAGACTTAACTAAGCTATTCTTAAAGGAGCTTTGTACAGCTACAGATGCTCATAGTCCTGCAGAAAGAGTAATTACTTAATACTTATTTTGTGAAAACTTAAATGTATCACAATAGACTTTTTGTTTTTTATGTAACATTTTTCTTTCTCAAGATTAAATCCAGTAATGTATGTAAAGTGCTTATCACAGTGCCCAGTACATAGTAAGTACTTAATAAATGTTAGCATTTGAATTTGAGTGCCTCGAAACCCATGTTTTACCTGCCATGCTACACTGCCGCCCCATAACAAAGACAAACTAGTATTACCCCTGGAACATGCTGTAGGTGGTAAAACCAGTGTCTAGCAGTTAAAATGCACTTCCACAAGGTTTCTCAGGGAATGCAGCCATCATTCAGCTAACAAGTGCTATGCTAACCCTGTGGTTATAGAAATTTATGACTCAAAATGTGGTTCCCTGGGCCACAGCAGCAGCATCACTAAGAATTTGTAAAAAATGCAGAGTCTCAGGCCCCATTGCAGACCTTCTCATTCAGAATCTCCATTTTAACAAGATCCCCAAGTGATTCGTATGCACATTAAAGTTTGAGATGCATTGGTATATAACACACGGCTCTGTGTCCAAGAGGTTTAGCATCTAGGTCGGGGGTCAAGACAGCCACACCGAGCAATATCAGAAAGTATATCATTGAAAAGCCAAAGAATATATAATTGAGATTTAGACTGTAAAATCTCCAGGGCTTTAAAGATAAGGCCTTGACATGGACCTAGAAAAGAGGGCAGGTTTTG